ACTGTTTAAAACTGACAGGAGTTGAAGCGCACAGTTTACCTTTCAATTAGCCACAAAATCAAAAGGAATCTAATTAGTTGGCCAACAAGGCAACAAGTCAAGAGTGACAAGTCCTCTGATTTCCTGGCTACCTGATTGCTTTTAAAAATAGATCGATCATCAAAGGACACGACCGCCACGCACCAATATTGAAAAAAAGGAAAACAAACTAAAAATCAAGCAAAAAAGGCGTCGAATACCAAATGCTGTCAAAATGTTTTGACAGTTCCAACAGCGGGTGGTGAAAATTTTTTGGGAAGAAAACAGTCAAATCAAAACTAAGAAATAAAAAATAAAAGTCTCTGTTATAAAAAACTATAATAAAGATAATAACTATACTTAGAGTTGGGATATAACAAATAACCTTTAATACTAGCTCAAAACAAAAAACTTTTAATTTAAAACCATTATTTTTTTTTACTTTTCCAACCCTTTTAAGCAACCGAAAAATGCAAGCAATTTGAGAAGCCCTCGCTTATTAACTAAAATAAATCCGTCCAACGGAAAGGTGCAGAAGGACAGGGCCGTTGGCCAAGTGCTACTGGCCAACTTGCTGACCATTTCCCTGGTCCTCTTTTTTTGTTTGTTGCCTTGCTGCTGCTGCTGCTGCTGCTTTATGTTTGCCTTTTATTTTGGCTACAAGTTCTAGTTAGTACGAAGCGGACGAAGGCGAGTTCATAGAGCCAAAAGAACCGGTCTTGGAAAGTCGTCTAAATGTTTCTCTTGGCTTTTGGGCACTGCGAAAAAGTTAATGCAAAAAATAAAAAAAATTAAATCAACATTAATCCTTGGTTAAACAAGAGAAATAGTTTCTATGATCTTTTCGTCACAAACTAATATAAACCAAAAAGCCCTTAATAGTTTACATAACCATTTACTTAACGTTTTAAAATTTATTTTATGTTTAATTCTGTATCCATTTTTTGTGCCCTGTTTTAATTTATTATTTTTTGTCAAAATAATATGTATTTAATTCTGTATTCAACTTTTGCGGTGTACTTTTTTATCCACGTCCAAGTCGAAGTCCGAGACTTTTCGATGTCGATGCTGAAGGCCCACTAAAATGTCTGGCTGTGTGTGCGCTAGTGGCTTCTTCCAGAGAGTATTCATTCCCAGAGGAATGTGTTAAAGTGTCTAAAGCTGTTTGCCCTCCCCCCCCCAAAATCCCCCTCCATCCAAATCGCCAAATAGAAAATTCTGAGCCCGGAGAGCAGCATATAAAATACGAAGCCGAACGCATCAGAATGGCAACGGCGATTTATAAGATAGTCCACAAAGGAAGGGGAAAAATAATATCAAATATCAATTTAGTGTTTGCAGGCTTAATTGATTTTTTCTGGCTTTTATTGACTCGTTTTTTACTGCTTCGCTTCGTTTCGCTTAAAATTATTACCAATATTGGCAATTTTAAAAAAGTTTTACAAATATTTGTGGTCCACATACTAAAAACAAATTTAATTGTCAAAGAGTTAATTATTTGGTATCTAAAAATCAATTTAGCAAAAAACAATTATTTTTATAAAGAGTGCATAATTATCTGCAATTTATCCATAATTACAACTTAATCAAAATGCAAAGCAATAGCCTTTTTAAGCTAATTGCTAATCCCTACCACTCAACAAAAAAAATTGGTAAGGCCAAAAATCTTTATAGGAAAAAATTCAAGTAAATTAAGTTTAAACCATCCAGCTTCCCAGCTGCTTCTCCTTCGTTCTTGGCTTGTTTGATGATGACATAGTATTTGCCCAAGTTAATGGGAAAATGAGAAATGAGTTAGCCATGGGAAGGACAGTAAGCGACGAGAATATAAGGCAGCTAGTGGGAAAGCTTTAAAAAGAGATGAAACAGAAGGGGAAAAATTGTATTAAATAAATGGAATATATTGATTACTTTAAAGTAATAAATTGTAGTTAAGTGTACATTTGTTTTTTAAAACTGTATTTATGACTGGCAACTAATTCCGAGCTTTAACCCCCTAACGTTCCTTGGAAATTAGACGCGTTCTAATGGAGTTTTTAAATAAGTAATCACCTGCCGTTGTTGGCTGGCAAGAAGTTTCGTTAAAGGCAGAAGGCGACTAGTTAACGGTTAAAGGCGAATGCAAACATAAGCCCAGACGTTGCCCCGCCCACTTTACTTTGACCGCCCTCTTAACCCTTTGACGCCCCCCGCCTCGCGCAAGTTAACGGGTTAACATGGGAACAAAAAAGCACAGGAAACTCGGACCCTAATTGATTGTTAACTCGTGTGTGGTTCGTAATTTCTGTTTCTTTTTCTCGTTTTTTTTTTTTTTTTTGGTTCGTTCCACTGGCAAATTGAGTCGCAGGAAATGCGGGGGAGTCCCCCAAAACCGCCGCGCAGCCCCCTGCCCCCCGCAATTATGGCTTAAAAAGTGTTGCTGGCATTTCGGGTCCAACAACTGCAACTGCAAAAAATAAAGGCCATAAGTAAACCAATTAGTCGCCCGGCAGTCGTAAGCTCAGTCTACAGTGCAACTGTCGCCATCGCTGTCACTGCCAGGCGCACTCTAACCCCCTGACCCCCTCCAGCTCCCGACCAACCACCCTTCGCCTGCCACGTCCATGGTGGCCAACAGCGACTGTTGGCCAGAGTTGGCCGATTGGCTGGCGTTTTTGGAAAGCATTTTCAGATTTTGAAAGGAGAGCGGTTTTATAAAGCATTCAAATATTTATATAAAGAAGCTAGGAGATGTAGAATACCATTATTATATATTTGAGAGTCCTACATTTCTATTCAAATATTTGTGCTAAATAAATTAATGTTGAAGTTATTTATCAACTCTCATAAAAAATAATATATTTAAATATTGATTTTCTGAAATACACATTCAAATAAATAATGCAAACATTAATGGCTACTTAAATACTTTTTATTTTCTATATATGTATAATATATGTATATAATATATATATATATATGACTCATTTAGCTTTTGAAGTCGAGTGTTCTCAGCACTGAAACTCAAATTTGCGGCACCAGCAGCTCGAACTCAAACTGCGGCTTTTGTATTGTGTAGTGTTATAAGCGCATTTGACTTTTTGCACAACACAAAGTTGGTTGACAAGTAATGGTTAAGGGGTTTCAGTTAGGGGGCTAGTTTACCAGGGGTACGAGTCAGTTGGTAAATACAAGAGAAAGATAACACAAAATTAAAACAATTTCCAAAAACAGATTACACATATATGTACGTTGTTTTTTTTAGTCACTTAGTAACCACATTGAGTGGAAATACTATTTGATTCTTAAGGAATTGTTTGTATTCTTAAGGAACCATAATCTACCCATAAATTCTTTCTAAATGTAATTTCAAAATGACTTTAAACACTTTTCAGAGTCTGACTGTTAAATATGGCTGGTGGTTTTTTCTTCTTTCCAGACTTATTGCCTGTCGGCTTTTAGTTGCAAGAATTGCTTATTACAACTGCAATGGCATCACCCACTCTCCACCCCCATTTGCCACCCTCTTCCGCCCATTTTTCCTCCCACGCTTTTCCAGAGCGCTCAATGAAGCTTGAAACGCGCTTCTAAGTAATGGCAATCCGCTTTGGCTTTCAATTTGCTCTTCTCCACGCTCTCTCCCTCTTTCTCCGCCACCCCCTCCCCCTTCCCCACCCCTCATTCCCGCATCTGCCATCTCCCTTTCTCCTATTTTGCATATCTTGTACATATGCCCTTTGGCTTTTTTCATACCAACAGCCAGAAAAAGCAGAAGAACTAGCTCCAGCAGGCGGGAGAATGGGGTTTTCATCGGAGATGAGCGCGTGGCAAAACTTATTTTACAATATGTTATCATGCACGAAAATAATTAATATAAAATATAACTAAATTATATTTTTGGCTGATTTGTTAGCTTCATTTTTTAACATAAAATTTAACATAATTTGTTTCACTTAGTTGTTGTCAATAAATACATATTTTATCGTGACACGTCCGAATTCTCAACACGCTCTCATCTCCAGTTTTAAGCTTAAAGTTTGAGGGGGAGGCGCAACAAAAGCCTGTAAACGTTACTAATGTTGCACTGATGGCGGAGTGGAGTGGGAGTGGCAAGAACCTGCACCCAAAGAAACTGATAAACCCAATACATCCAAATGTCCCTAAAATTATTATTAATTATAAATGATCGGGTTTTTACCCAGTGCAAGCTCATAAATTTTAAATCTTATAGTTAAATAACACTTTGGGTATTACTTCCACCTGAAATATTTAAATGCAAAATCCGAAAACTTCAAACTATTCTTCAAGTGTACCTTTATAGTCTGTAGTGGAGTAAAGGTGGGGAAGTTGTACATATTATTGCATTTTGCAAGTAAAGTGATTTCAACATCGTTATTTTCTGCCGCTTTTTATTTCATCTTAAGCTGCTCTTCCTTCTCTTGGCCCGTTTGAAAAACTTTGCTTTCTGGCTCTATGTTTTTTATGGCGGGTTCCTTTGCCAACTAAAATTTCGACCTAGAACTTTTCAAAACCCGAGGAATATGTCCGTCTGAAGGTGGAGGGTGGGTAAAAAAATGGCCATGTTGATAAGTTAAGAGCAGGAGGTAATGGAGATGGTGGCAGTGGCGCTGGAGGGGCGGGATGTCCATGGCTTAAGTGGCCTTTAAGTGTTTCGCGGTCCACTCTAATGGTCCCCCCATGTTGAGTTGATCGACGTTAGGGGGCAAAGGATAAATATTGCTTGGGGGCAGAGAGGTGGGGGGAGAACGCTAAAAGAAATGTGCAATAATCTACCAATAATCAATTTTTCACTTCTCTTTTAGGATTTTGCAACAACAATTAAATAGAGGAGAACAAAACAAAAAGTACGAATATCAATGCTTCTTAAGTCCCTTTTTAAAAATTTGATATGTAAAATGTGATACATTGACTAACAAAAATTTCCAAAATTAAAATAAAAGATAGGATATGCATTTAATATTATATACATTTTACGCAAATAACACATTAAATCCAAATTATTAAAATTCATATATAACATTTTTTAAATAGGGCATTTATTAAAAAATATTTTTGGAGTTAGTTGTATTAGGACAAATACTTTAAAAATAAATCATTAACAATAAAAACCCTATAAGTGTGATTATAACCCTAAAATGCCACCAAAAAATTGAAACATGTTTAAAATTCAAATTTACAACGCTAAAAACTATAACAAAAATACTTAGATTAATGCACAAGAATAAAGCTCGTGTAATTATTAAACAACCACACAAATGATAATAAAATTAAACAAATGCAAAAAGCAAACAAAATACAAAACAAAAAATACAAACAAAAAGTAAAAACAAAAAACCGTTCAACCGAAATTCCGAAAATATTAATGTGCCACTAAAAAATGTCTCTTACCATTTCAATGTAATGCCAATCAAGCCAAATTCGTACTTAAGACTCATTTTAAAAGTTGCAAAAAAATGTGTCTTAGTAAAAAAAACTATAAAAATGCAAGGAAACCAAAAGACACCAGTGGGCATTCAATGAGATCGACAGCAACATGAGTAAAACGACATCAAAAACTGTCATCTGTCAGTAAACTAGTAGCCTGCAAATGCACCCGCAGTGAAGACAAAAAATAAAATAAAATAAATATATAGATAAAAGGAAAAACAACAGCACTCCCTCGAGTTTAAATCGCAGTTCGATTTGCAGTCGAAGCCGGCGGCCTAATTACGCAATTTAATTATATATTTCGAGTGCCATTTGGAGTCCGAAAAGTTTAAAGAGCACAAAGTTAAGTAATGCAAAACAACGGGAGACAACCTAATAATTTCTGGTGAGTTTAAGATAAAGTTGATATAACTTTTAAGTATTAATTCAATTAAATTGATACATTTTAATTTAAATTCCTCTTAAAGGGTTCGCCCTTAATTCCTCAACATTTTCAATATACCTATAGTGATCCCTAAAAAGGGGGAAAACTAAGCTATGTAATTATGTAGGCCACTTCTCTAGGGTTAATTGCAAAACGTTTGGAATTGACATTTCTGGTTGGGGAATTGTTTGAAATTTTAGAGGGGTAGAACTATGTGTAATGCATTGAGCCATGTTTTTCCTTACGCAGCTTTTGCCGGGAACAAAAGTCGTTTGTTGCACTTCTTTGTGGCGCCTCATTCCCGGGGTTAACTAACCGCCCCCTTAATCCGAATGCTAAGTGGGGTATGTGTGTGGCATGTTGGTAATAAAAGTTTCATTGACTTTTGCACTAGAGTTGACTTCAATGGCTTTTTATTGCCGCTCTTCCATGAGGGGACTTTTGCCGGCTTCTGGTCCTGTTTTAAACAACTTTCTCGTCCTTCGCAGGGGGCGATTCTCTAACTAGAATTTAAACTAAAAGGAAAGAAAAAGTGTCAAGCTATGTGAAAATTACGAAGAAATACCCAACATGTTAAAGCATTTAAAGCAGGATAATAAAGATCTATAAAATATAAAAGAGTTTCTGGGAACTTGTAGTTTTATTTGTATTAGTAAAGATTTTGTGTCACCGCTTCGATTTCTTAATTCTTTACATTTTCTTGGGAATGAGTGCTTTCTGCGACTTAGTCATAAAATAAAACCCTTCGATATTACAATGTAAGAACTTACATTCCACGATGCCCACATCTAATCTTCTCTTCTCTTCTCGATCTGCCAACGAAAAGTTAATCAACAGTTGCAAGCAATAAAATAAAACGAGAAATTAGCCTGGCTTTTTCATTTCCACTTCATCAGCACTATATGAGAAAATCAAGTGCGTTCGTCTGCGCCTCGTTTTTATTGGCGATGTGGAATTAAGCGATTGCGGATTTAATGAAATTATCAGCATTATGTAATGAGTGTCGGAGGACTTGTCGTCATCATAATGACTTAATTTCGAATGCAAAATGCCAACGATAATAAAGTTAATAATGTGTGAAGACAGCCGGAGTCGGTATGTTAATTAAAAACAATTTGTCAGGCTAACTGCTTCATTGTTTCCGTTTGTAACTTAACCAGAAATATATATCTTTGGGATGCACCTATTTTGATATGTTACTTTTAATGGTAAATGCTTCAGGGAATGATTCCAATTGCCGTTTAAGAATAAAGCTAACGTCCAACTAACGGACAGGGGAAATTAAACTTTATAATGAGGTTCACTGGTATAAATTTCAATTGAGCCACTCCCAAAAAGCAAATACCCAATATATCCCACATCCAGGCTGAGGTGCCATTTCCTGCACCGCTCTCCCGGCGACCCGGCAACCCTAATGCAGTGAAAATAAACAGCAGAGTTGCCTCATCAGCCCGTTACGGGCATGAAAGAATCGCCACGAATCATGAATTTCTAATTGAAGCGGCGAAAAAAAGCGGAGACAACGGAAAGAAAAATGCGAAACGCCAAACGCATGAGGATATGTGCACTTCGGGGAATTTTTCGAGATCAATAATGTATTGGAAAATCGAGAAAAAGGATTATAAAAAAGCTATCTCTTTTAAGAGATGAGTTTATTTTTTAATGCAGTTAAGATATGCTATGAAAATCAAATTCCAATTTTTATTTATTATTTGTTTCCTTTAAAAGGTTATTTTATAAACTTCAATATCTCGTGAACATTTTCTCAGTGCAAGGACTTGCATGGGGAGGTTGCGGATGGTTGCAGGAATGCGTGCAACGGGCGCAACGAATGACATTTTCTTGCCGGGGCAACATCGAAAACGAGACGTCACTTCGGCTCACGGGCCCAAGTTCCAGACACGGATGCGACTTTGGACAGGAAAAAAGACAAAGACAGGGACAGGAACAGGGACGCAGACAGAGACAGAGAACCTGAAACGGGAATAATCGGTCGCAAGAGCGAAAGAGACAGAAAGGCCTGGCACTTGACGTATGCCAAAAGCATTTAAGCTCCACGCATGCGCAGCCTTCGAAGGCATTTTTTATCCGCTACTCTTCGCGGACCTTGTTCTTTTTTAGGGTGCTTTAAAAAAGTACCGTTTAGCCTAAGCCCCCGATACCCTGCTTCAAAAGTTGGGGGTTACCATTCGGGGTTTTTATGTTTTAAGAATTTAAATTTAAAAGTACACATTATCAAATGTGCTTCTGTAAAGAACGTTAAAGATTCTTAAAGGAGGCTATAACTTAGTTTTATTGGCAGTGTCTTAATAAAAAAGTTGTAAGTGTTGTCAGAAAAAAAACTTTGCTTTCCTGATTTGTATTTCTTAAAAAACACTTTATTACTTTTAAGATCTATAGCTTCCGTTAGATTATTTTTTATAGGTACATTTACATGTATGTTTATTTTTGGGATGTAGAGCATTTAAGATTCGAGTTCAACTTTCCCTATTTTGCATTTTATTCCGGCTCTGCTTGTGGGCTACCAACCGTTTTATTTATGCGCATTTTATACGCATCATTTTGTGCGAATGAAGAACAAGCTTTAAAAAAAAAGAGGAAGGAGTTTGAAAAGAGGTTTGCTGTTGCAGTTGATTCTCTTGCCGTATATGGCATTGCAATTTGACCCACGTACAAACAAGCAATTACATAATACACTTATGCACATTTCAACAGTGGTTGCCCAAAACGAAAGTTTAATTACTAAGATATTTACAAATGAATAATGAGCGATCTCTATATTATTTAAAGGGTTGCACGGGTTAAAATTTTTTTGATGGTTTTGACGATAATTTTCTTAAAGGAAATGAAAAGTTTTTCGAATTTGCTAGGATCCACTGTACCCAATCTGAAAAGGCAACCCCGCTGGACATTCGGACTCTTGTTTAAGCCGCATCTGCATTTGAACTTCTGAACTTCCCTGTCTGTCACTCGCAGTGTTTTATTGTTGCCAATATGGGCGGGGGAAAGGGGATTAACTGGCTGCAGAGGGGGTTTAGGCCTCGTATTATTGTCTGGCAGCAGAGCCGACCAACAGCCTCCGATGGATTCTTCAGCCTCGCTTGAATGACTGGTAGAAAGTCAGCAACTAGGTCTCAGATTTATTCGCAAAGTCCACTTACACTCTACCAAAAAAAAAAAAAATATACAAAAATAACTGTGTTCAATTAAAATATTATAAATTGCTTTAAGATATGTTTTTTATGCAGTTAGCTGAAATATTAGTTTAATTTAGTTTGCCTTCATTAAACCATTTTTTAAATTAAACAAAACAGTATAATTATTATTATAACATTTTTTTTATGTTTTTTACATTTTTATATTCTTTCTTAATTTTTGTTGAGCCCGCTTGCTTGTATTCTGTTCGATTTCAAAGAGTTGAGACGCGACTCCTTTTCTGCATACGTTCCATTTCGTCTCGACAAACTGACATCTGGCATATGCCGGTCCCCGTCTATATATAGACGGTCCAGGTCCATCTGTATCCCCAACTCCAACTCCAACTTCGAGTCCGAGTCCAACTCCAATCCGATTCCAACTCCTGTGCTGTCCTGTAACGACTGTCCTGCGTCCTCGTTGCCCAGTCCTTTCCCGTCTATCTGGCCGCCTTCTGTTTGCTTGTTTGTGGCTGCTGTTTGCATGACTTCCATTTGGCAAACATTTTAATTTTAATGAATTTATGTAATCGCTTCGTTTTGCTCTTGCTCTTGTTATATTTTATTTATTTTTTTTTTGTTTCTTCTCCTTTCATTTGTTTAAATCATTTTTTTTCCTGCTCTGCTCTGCTCTGCTTTACTCAGCCTGCCAGCCGGTCTTTTGTTTGTTTGGCATCAAACACCCCTTTCCCACACTCACAGCGGCGTGTTTGTCAACACTTTTCATACACTCTGGCAATTTGGTTTGTTGACTTTGCTGGTGGCGCTCGCAAATGAGAATCGAAAAACTGACAGTCGACAGGAGCTTTGGCCATCATCGTTAGTCTGCTGTCGAGTTTTTGCAAAAAATAGCAACAAATTTTGCTCTATTTGAAGGGTTCCAAAGGAAGTTCAACCGGCGGTTACATATTTAGGGGAAAATGTATTCGTATATCTACCTAATGTATGATGTAAATGGTATTACCTAGAAACACTTATAAAATAATGTAGCTATCAAACATAAACATAACAAACATAACCTATTTTTGAATTTTAATCATTATACCCTTGCAGAGCAAAAGGGTATTATAATTTCAGTCAGAAGTTTGCAACGCATTGAAGGAGACACCTTAGACCCCATAAAGTATATATATTCTTGATCAGCATCACCATCTGAATCGAAATATGTATGTACGTCTGTCCGTCTGTCCGTCTGTCCGTCTGTCCGTCGGTCCGTCGGTCCGTCTGTCCGTCTGTCCGTCTGTCTGTTTCTATGTAAACTAGTCTCTCAGTTTTGAAGCTATCTTGCTGAAACTTTCCCAAAAGGTGTGTAGTTATTGCACGCAGTATATAAGTCGGATCGGGCCGGATCGGCCGACTATATCGGATAGCTCCAATACAAGAGAGTGAAATAAAAAATTCTCACTCTGTTGTTTTTGATCAGATCGACTTGATTTCTTCAAGATGGCGTTTTCGAACTGTTATTGACTTTCGGATTAAATTTGATCAAAATCGGATAACTCTATCATATAGCTGCCATAGGAGAGTTCGAAAAATATATATAGAATTAATGGAAATAAATTGATAACATCGTTGTTTTTTATCCCACGAGCATGATTTTTTGAATATCAAGTTTTTTAACAACCCTTATATTGAGAAAAAAGTTTCATAAAAATCGGACAGCTATATCTTATAGCTACCATAGGAAAGATCGAAAAATCTATATAGAAATAACGGAAATATAATGATAACATCGTTGTTCTTTATTAGATAAGCATGATTTTTCGA